TCAGGGGGGCAGTGAAGGACAGGAAGGCCTGGCGCAATATGGTTCATGGGGTCACGAAGAGTCGGACACGACTTAACGACTGAACAACAACAAAGTTACCTTCATGCAAAATGTTTAAGCTGGTTACTTAATTAACCTGAAGCCTTGGTTTGCACAAAACATTGAATCAGAGAAGCTGGGTTTGTGACCATGCTCAAGACACCCCCACAGAATCCTAATCAAGGTTAACACTAACCCAGCATTGCACTGCAGTTGTTAATGATTAGCTGAGCTGGGTGGAATAGTTGTGTGAGCCCAGCTAGCATCTTGGAAGTGGTCCAGGATTCTGTTTCCGTGGGATGCGTCCAGAATCCAACCAATCAGCAAGTCTGAAACAGAACAAGGCAAGATCAAAGAATCTTGCACAAAGGATGCAGAAAGAATGGGAAGACCCAGTTGCTCATTCGAACTGCTGATGAATGAGACACCCTTATATATTCTTTGCTTTCCCTTCTCAGGGTTCAATTGGACTGCAGCGGACCGCCAGTCTACCCCGCAGGAGCAGAGATCATCTTCCATCCCGCTCTCCTCCGCGTCCCCTTTCAATGCATGGTATGGATTCAGTGTATGGACGGGTGGGCTGGCCACGTGGGGACCACAGGTGCCATCCTTCTTGGAGCACCCACCCTGTGGTGCCCGCTGACCACCAAAATGAAAAACAAGACATTTTCTCATAAAGTAAGCATGGTTGAAATCTCAGGTGTTAGCCATGTTTCACAAGATTTCTGTGTTTTTAACCTGAGATCTTGTCCAATTGTTAAATTTAATTTCTTGGTCTGGGAACTCCAAGGGAGAAGACTAGGAAAAGGAAGCGTTTAGATGATGCTATTGGTTGAAAAGATGGAGCTGAGCTATCTTGGTTGTAGAAGCTTCGTTTCTACAGGGGCGGTTGATGCAGACTGATTTATACTAATACATCTTTTAAAAATAATAATAGTAGTAGTTTCAATCCAGTGAAATAAAATTACACTAATCATTCCAGAAAACAATAACCCTGAACTTTGTTGCTAAAAATGGAGGTGCATAAACTGAGACTTAGGGCCTTTGGTGGCCCCAGAAGCTTGATTACAACCCTCCAGAGATTTCCAAAAATTACCAAGTTATAATTTTTAATATGATAAAATGAGGAAAATTATTAAATTCCTGAGGACACAGTATTCACACAAATTGAATTATAATTTACATTTAAACACAAATGAAATGAAATCAGTTTTAGATTTTGTCCTGGTTCCACCCACTATTTTTGGAGCACAGTCCCTCTTTGCCAGTCTATTGAAGGCTGAGTGCAATTTTTAATTTTCAAAATGAGCATCTTTTTTGGAAAAACCAGCAGAGTGTCTTGGGGCACCATCAAGACCAATATATTTATGCTGCATGAACTATCATGATGCATACAAGGATCGGTATTAATCAATACTTGGTCTTCAAAGTGCCACAAGATCCTTTGCAGTCTTGAATGTCCTTCTTTCACTGGTTGTTAACATTGAATGAGACTTTTGGCAGGCAAAGGTGTTTGACCACTCAACCACAATCCGTACACGGTCAGTTGGGCAGTCATGGAAATCATGAGTTTAAAGTAGCAATTAGACCAAAATGGGGTTGATCTGAGGATGGCTTTGCAGGTACTGATCTTCTGGCTTATCCCTTCCAGGTGCCCTGGATCCCAGTGTTCTGGTAGCTCAACTCTCCAGTGGGAGCAACAGTCATTACCTGGGAAGTCCAAACCTCCAATTCTCACGTTTCAACAAACCCCTTTACCAACTGCTGGGTGGCCAGGCATCTACCAGGCAGCTGGGAGGAACCTCTCAAGGAGCCTACAGGTCAGCACATCCCATTCTCTTTCTACTGATATCTTTCTTCCTTAATTTCAGCCTGCTTCACCAAAGATGACATCAGGTAGCTAACTTTGTTCTTCGTAGTCATTTCCAGTCAAACTAAAATGTGCCCTCCCACAAATGTCATTCTATCATTCTTCTAAGGAATCCATAAATCCATGTTCTTATGAGTGATGAGACTAGGGCACTACTGTTGGAAAAAGAAATATAACATTTCTTCCCACCTCCCACATGCTATTTGCTCACTTTGACTAGCTCTCTCTAGTTCTAGTCCAGGACTAGAGATGTTTAAGCAGAGTCCAGAGGATCAGCTCTCAGGGATGCTACAGGTACAAAATTCTTCCACTGAGTGACCTCCTGGATTAAATTCCAAGATCACTTCCTATCTTAACATTTTATGATCTGATGAGTCAAATATTTCCTACAGCAGGCCTGTTTGCTCTCGGTTGGCACGGCCACACATCTGGATAGGTTGACATTAACCGGGTATTTCTCCCAACAGCCTTGGAAACTGTGTCACCAAATTGGCAGAGATGGAACGGAGGGTGCGGGAGGCCATGGCTGAAAGAGAGCGATTGCTGCAAGAGAGGGTAAGAAGTCAAGTGAACAGACTCATCTCCTGGACCATAGTCTGTCTCCAGTTTTTGCGATGATGGTTTCCATTAGGGAAAAACATACATCAAATCATTTCAGGCTCATTGCTCTGACTTTTGCTCTAACCTGGAGTAACCCTGCTTCTCATCTGCTTTCCACGTGGTTTTTAGAACAAGGAAGTTGCAAGTTTTGCCCTGTCAGCCTTTTGACTATGTTGCCTGTGTGCAGATAGCTGGGTAAAACTATCCAAAATTAGACCCAGAGGAACAGGAAGAGCTTGTGGTCTTTCTTGTGTATGCTTGGATTTTTTGAGGGGGTGGTATGTCTGCAGCCCCTGGAATGTTGCTTCCTGTCCCACACGCTTACCACAAGCAGACCACCCTCAACCGTCTTTCTTTTCAGGAAGCTAAGAAAGTCGCTGAGGAGGTGAGACGTATGGAATTATCCCCTTCAAACATGGTAAGAAGATCTCTGTCCTTATCTAGAATCCAAGAATATAATTTGCTTTGCCAATCTTTGTCAATCCTTATGTGATTAGAGTTTGAGCTGAGATGGACTTTGACAGGGAATCCAGACGTTGTCTTAGCATGTTGTGTGATTCAGGCCATTATGTTGAGCTATAATGTCATTATTTGTTCGGGCATAGCATGTTTGGTGAACATGTTTTGTTAATCCAGATTTAGAATTCAGTTTAGCATTAGTGTTTTGATGAGTGGTGATTATTCACCTTCATACTCCTACCTTGCAACTGAAAGGCAGTGAGTTTGATGACCTGAATAGTGGATCTGTACCTGTGCAATCTTGTTGTATGTAGGATTTGAAGGTATAGGTTAGAAGTTCATTTTCTGGTCTCCTGCTAACATATAGCAAGAGGAACATGGAAGACCCATCTTTAGAACAGTTGCTTATGCTATAGGAATGGACCATCTATCCCAAACTAGCAGTGTAGGAAGGATGCTGGGAACACAAAATCTCAGCACTGACCCCTTTCCTCAAAACTGTAGTGGTCTACCTAAGAGCAATAAGCCACAACACAGGTGACCAAAGCTTCCCTAGACTGACATCTGTCTGGTTTTAAGCCTTGCCTTCTTGCTGCCCTGCAGATCCACAACCTCGTGGAGATCCAGGAACCCAAACCAGCTGCCTTTGACCTGCGCAAACATCTAGAGGCATCGGGACATAGTGTTGACACATGCCAGCAAGTGAGGGTGACCAGCAAATCTTGCAAGGGCTACCTAGTCAAGATGGGTGGGAGGATCAAGACTTGGAAGAAGCGTTGGTTCACCTTTGATCGCCAGAAGCGTGTCTTGGCATATTATGCAGGTGAGGGAGAATCTAGACAGGCAGCTACTTCTCCACCAGGTTGTAGTCTCTGCTGCTGATAGTGAAAACTTGTTCTCACCTTCAAGCAGCACACTCCAACGGGCATGCATGGCATATCCAAGGGGCCAGGAGAAACGATGCATGCGTGTGTGAGAATTTTAAATGGCATTCTTTGCACATTTGGCTCACAACAGGTTCACTTGGGGGACGGGGAATTGATTGCTTATCCCCAGATTTGCAAGATATCTTCATTCAACGCCCCTCTTGGCTCCCTAATTGCAAAGGATTTTGGTTAACAATGGAAGAATATTATAGAGGCCTTCCATGCAGGGCTCTATACAAATTCCTGCAGAGAAGTCAGAGCGGGGTATTCTTTGTGCACATGTCTGGAGTTGTATTCATGAAACCTGGTTAACCGGCTATTGGATTAACCTACTTTCTGGTTTTGCATAATGAACTGAATCCTAAAGTAAGGATACAGGCTGGATTTGCACCATACACTAAGCCACAGAAAGCCAAACTAGGTATAAAACACCTATGGATAGTGTGAATGTGGCCAGTAGGTCTTTAATTGACCTGGTTAAACATGTTGTGTGAATGCAACCACCGAGTTGAAGGGAAGATTAGAGCAATAAGTCCAGCCATTTCACTTCTCTCATTTTAACCATTGGGCATTCTTTTCCTGCCCCTCCCAACTTGCTAAAAGGGTCCTGTGATTTTTTTCCTCCCCTCCAGACAAAGAAGAGACCAAGCTTAAGGGTGTGATTTACTTCCAGGCCATTGAAGAAGTATACTACGATCATCTCCGTTGTGCTTTTAAGGTACCAAGAGTAGAGATTTGCTGAAAGCCTCTTTTCTAATTCGTGCAGACCTGGGAGGGGCGGTGGGCTGGATTTAGGGATCCAAACTGATTTGAGCCATTAGAATTTTGGGTGGAGCGGCCAAACCTCACTTCCCAGAATTGCTCCTAAAAGTTGTTTTTACGTGAGACTCCATTAGTCTATTGAAGCATCCAAAATGGTATTTCCCCAGAAACTTTGGAATAAATTTCCACAATATTGGACTGGAGGCTTAATATTTAAAAACTTAGTTCTACACTTAAGCCTTCCCCTCTAAGACTGATTTTAAGACTATGACTGCTTAGGACTGTGAATTTCTATTGCCTGCTTCTTGCTATTGATAGATGATATTATATATTATGATGTTTAAGTGCAGTGTTTCTCAAACTTGGCCATTTTAAGTTGTGTGGACTTCAACTCCTACAATTTCCCAGCCAGCCATGCTGGCTGGGGAATTCTGGAAGTTGAAGTCCACACGTCTTAAAGTTGGCAAGGTTAAGAAACACTGCTATAGAGAACTATCTTATTCCTAATAAATGTCCACATCATAGTTCAAATAGGTGAAGAATGAAACAAGAAGAAGATAACATTGCCCTGAATTCCTTGGAAAAGTCATACTTTGCATACTTCCTTCCCTTCCCAAATCAGTAATCTTGACTTCTTCATTGACATTGTTTAAGAAAAGCCCCAAGACATTTTTTTATGCTTTTAGCTTTTCCCTTTTACAACCCTGTTTTAATTGCTGACATCACTGTATTTGCTTCTGTCTTCTGTTACTGGCCTGCATTGTGAAGTTTTAATGCTATAATGCTGTGATTTGGTGATATTTTTTTCTATGCTTTTTATTGTGGGAGTTGAAGTCCTTCAAAGGATTTTGAAGTTATTATTGTATTTCTTTCAAAGGGTGATGGTTGTTCAGGGGTTTCCTGTTAACTGCCATGAGGCAGTTCTATGCAAACATGCTAAATAAACAAAGGGCAAATAAATCATTTTTTTTAAAAAAAAGCTATTTATGGTTTCTCCATGATGATCTTCACACAACATGCATCAGTTATAAACCTCATGGCTTCAATGGCACAACATATTCAGCTTGGATATCAAAACCTTTACTAGGTTTTCTGTGTTTGCTTGTGTGATGTAGCATATTCTGTGAGGCCAACACATTGAGTTAATTTAGGCTTCAGCATATAACCCTAACCCAGTGACACAATTCAGTAAGTGGGTTAAGAGATTCTGTGTGAATGCAACCTATTATTTTCATTCATAGAGCTTCCTTTTCTCTCTCTCTCTCTCTCTCTCTCTCTCTTTGAAAGAGTCCCAATCCCAAACTGACCTTCTGTGTCAAGACCTATGATCGTCTGTTCTGCATGGTGGCACCAAACCCAGAGGCTATGAGGATCTGGATGGATGCAATTGTCACAGCAGCTGAGGAAAATACGCGCTATTGATGAGCTCTTTCAGATGAAACGGACACTTAACTCTTCACTTTGGGAGTCGCATTTCTCTCCGAGGTCTTACTGGTATAAATGATATCTCCTTCTAAGGGAAAAGCTGGTCAACAAGGGGCCCAGTGGCAGAGGTTGGATGGTTTCGTGTTTGTTGAAGTCTAACTACCATATAGGGCCAGTTCAGTACACAGAGTTGTTGGCTGCGATTGTTGATACTTGAAGATGGATAGTCTGGATGTTTTATGTTGTTTTAAATGGACCAATTCAGAAACCATTTCCAATCTCACTGCTGGCTGGAGAAGACTTCAAATGGCATCTTGGAAGGCAGGCTGTTGTTATGGATTCCAGCCAGTTTTGCACAACATATGAATCTATTCCAAAGAATTAAAACCAACTTCTCTGGAAGATGCCCTGAACAGGGAAAGCACGTTGTCTAGAAATCAGAGGGGATTTTGCAATGCTGTAAGTCAGTTGGCTTACAGGAAATGTTCTTGAGATACACGCAGGAAACTTTTATCAGAACTGCTGCTTTCCTCAATCAGAAGGGAGAACTTCTCCCCATACTGTATAGGTTTTGTTATATTTATTAAGTGTTTTGTGTCTTTCCTTAAAAAACCTGGGAACACTGTTTAAAGGGGAGCCATGTACAAAACCATGTATGGAATATTTATTGTATAAATCCTTTAAGTGAAAACAGATCTGGCGGTTGCTCAGTTTATTCCTATCTAGAAGACAACGTTTTAAGGTGCTTTCATTCTTCCTGGTGTCAGCAATCAGTCCTTCTCCTTCTAAGTATGCCTTTTCCTTCAACTCAGACAGTATCTTTCAACCTCACCCACAGCCATACATCTCCACACCCCTAGTCTTCATTTATTCAATGATCCCTCCACTTTGCAAATATTTTGGCCTACATTTGCCTATCTGGAGTTCACTTGGGTGTCAGCTTGCCATTGTTCCCACAATTAGTGACATACGGGAAGGGCAATTCCAGCCACTGAGGCCACCATGATCCTTCAGGGCTTTTCTGCTTTTCCTCACAAATGTTTTCTATCCATCTGCCATCTCCAACACTGTGAGAAGAGGGAGAGCAAGGAAAGTCATAGATGCCTTTTGTATCCTCACCTGCTTCTTCTAGTCAGCCGTGTCAGAAAGGAGAATTCTCTGCAAATACCTTCATCCCCAGACTTCTAAAAAAAAATCTGAACATGGTCACCTGGTAAATTGTTATCAGTTGCCTTGTTTTAAGTCTAGGATGCAGAGGCATTTGCAGCGGGTGCCGGAAAGACAACGGCTGTAAGTGTGCAATCAAATCCCACACCTTTGCTCATGTGTGCTGCACACACAGTATATGAAAAAGAGGCAGAGTTTTGATTCAAAGATACTTCAGATTGATGTTGGAAATGGAACAACAAGAGGGGACATTTTACCATGCTCGGTGGATGTGGATGTGTAAAAAAGCTAGAAAATTTTGGATTCAACTACACACCCTAATTCAGAAGATTTTAAAGATTAATGTACAATTGAGATCAGAGGTATTTCTTTGAGGATTTATTGTTAAACAGCTGGGAAAAAGCCATGGAATGTTGTTTTTATATATGCTAACCGCAGCACGATTATTATATGCACAAATGTGGAAAGATCTGACATTACCCACAATGGAGAAATGGATGAAGATGATGGAACTTGCTGGGATGATCAAGTTTGACCAGAGAAAAGACTTTAGCTAAGTTTAAGGCTGCCTGGAAACCCCTTATAGACTTTTTGCATGAAATAGGGAAAAAAAAAATGAACCTACCATATATGGTTTTGATGATTAGGGAAGAAAAAAAAGGATGATAGAAGAAAAGAAAGTCATGCTGTAACCATAGAGTAAGAGGGTAATTTACACTTAAAACTGCTATAAAAGAAAATGGGAAGTTACTTCTTTATCCTTTCTTTCCTCTTGTTCTGCATGTTTAGCTTGATCTTTTCTTTCTTTCTTTCCTTCTTTCTTTATTCTAAATATTAGTTTTGTTAGTTTTGATCTTTCTTGTTTAAAATCTTAATAAAGTTATTTAGAAAATAAATAAATAAATAAATAAATAAATAAATAAATAAATAAAATAAATAAATAAATAAATAAATAAATGAAAGAAAGAAAGAAAAAGAAAGGGAAGGAAGGAAGGAAGGAAAGGAAGGAAGGAAGGAAGGAAGGAAGGAAGGAAGGAAGGAAGGAAGGAAGGAAGGAAGGAAGGAAGGAAGGAAGGAAGGAAGGAAGGAAGGAAGGAAGGAAGGAAGGAAGGAAGGAAGGAAGGAAGGAAGGAAGGAAGGAAGGAAGGAAGGAAGGAAGGAAGGAAGGAAGGAAGGAAGGAAGGAAGGAAGGAAGGAAGGAAGGAAGGAAGGAAGGAAGGAAGGAAGGAAGGAAGGAAGGAAGGAAGGAAGGAAGGAAGGAAGGAAGGAAGGAAGGAAGGAAGGAAGGAAGGAAGGAAGGAAGGAAGGAAGGAAGGAAGGAAGGAAGGAAGGAAGGAAGGAAGGAAGGAAGGAAGGAAGGAAGGAAGGAAGGAAGGAAGGAAGGAAGGAAGGAAGGAAGGAAGGAAGGAAGGAAGGAAGGAAGGAAGGAAGGAAGGAAGGAAGGAAGGAAGAAAGAAAGAAAGAAAGAAAGAAAGAAAGAAAGAAAGAAAGAAAGAAAAAGAAAAAGGACCAGAGGGGTCCAGGTTCAAATCCAGAGGCACAAGTTTATAAGACAATCTTGGAACCTCATTGCCTTCCAGATCA